ACCAACAACCACATGATCAAGTGAATTGCAGCGGAATAGCTGCGCTTGATTGTGTTGGCATAACAAAAATGAAAATAGTGGAAATAAGCAAAACGATAATTTACAAGGCGAACATAGCACAGTGCGTAGGCAAATGGCTGAGTCAGTGGGATCATCGATTAAAACCCTACCGAAAGAAGTCTGATGAGGAAACGTGGTGATTTCCGAAATAGCTATCACTTCTACCATTTTTTCAAATTATTGTTGCTTTTCCACAATAAGTTTTCATTAAAAAACGGCCTCAATCTCAATAAAAATTGTTGAATATAATTATATAATTGTTATTATGTAAACATAAAAGTTTTTAAAAATGCTATAATCAAAAAAAATTAAAAAGAAAAATGTTTACTTTATTTTTTTTGTTTTTTTTTTAAACATTGCCCATTAATGTAAGAAATGTACAATTAAAGCCCATAATAAGACGGAAGAAACACATTTTTTATCATTAATTTTCGTTAAAAGGTTTCCAAGATACAGCGCTTCAAAGAAAGGTATGTATGAGGTTTTCTTAAAATTTAAGTCCCGTCTAAATAGGCAAGCCTACGTCATATCGGCAAAATATGCTGCACGTATATTCATGTCACCTAGACCTTCAATCTCTTCAACTTTCATCCAAATCCTGAGAGGTCGCGCACAGAGGTTGTCCCGGTGACATGAAATGCCTCAATTGGCAGTTGTCCTTAAACCTAGCTATAAAAAAAATAGGTATCAAATCAAAGGTATTTTTATGCTCTTTCTAGAAAATATATCTTTTATTATACATATGTTGGTAATTACGTATTTTATTAAGAAAAACATACATATTTCATTTACATATTTCGACAGAGTATCCATTGAAAATTATGTCAAACTGCAAAGAACTTTAGTGTCGCCTTAATTTGGACTACAAATATACCCTATTAAAACCACTTAATAGCCACTTCAATGAATTTTTCTGCAAACAAAACCATTTACCTAAAGAAACCAAAAATCTGCTGTTTTTGTTAAGACCCCGTGAATAACCCTATTGCGTCGATGCATAAGGTTGGTAGTACTGATAACTTTGGTTGCATGCGAAGCATAATCAGCAGTATTGCCATTTTGGTGCTTTTGGAGCTAGATTTTGCTCTTTATTTTTCTATTTAGCTCCGAAAATGGGGTTTTTGCTCCTAGCTCTTTTTTTAGCTCTTTTCAAAATTATCTAGCACTTATTTAGCTCCAGAAAGTTTTAGTTGTATTTGGTATATATAAGCCAAAACTAAAGCGTTGATAAAATGGAAAATTTCGAGATGCAGTGTATCCACCATAAACTCTTGGATCTAAGTTAAAGAATTCAAAAATTAATTAGAAGAAAACCCTTTTTCTGATACCTCGGATTTTGTTTTACCTTACTAATTTTACCTTTAAGGAGAGCTGGAAGTAAAACTTTCCAGAAAAATTTTGCGAAAAAATTATTAAATTCAAATATCTGACAATACAGACTTTGATAGTTTGTAAAGAATTTTTAGTTCACTGTTATAAGTGCCATAGAAACGAAATCGAAATATATGCACCTTATTTTGGTTTTAAAAGATTTTTTCAGCATTTAAACTTATAGAATTCGTTGTTTTTATTAGAATTGCCGAAAACGTAAAAACAACCTTACTTCAATAAATGCTCAACCTTAAAAAAAATATGTAGCTCTTCATTTTAGCTACTATTAATATTATTTAGCTCTCTTTTCGACCGTTTTAGCTCCAAACGAAATTTTTCTCTGGCAACACTGATAATCAGCCTTGAGTTTGGTAAAGTTGTGTTACGTTTAACAAGTTGTGCGAAGTCATACGAAGTATGCATAATGAGACCTTTAGTCTAATTCCAAACTTTGTATGCACACACAGCTGCACTCGTAAATTAACATTTTATTTACACATCCATACACATGTATGCATGCATTTGCTTTTAAATACACGCGACACAAATTTAGGTATGTACTATGTATGTACCTGTTAATTTCAAGATTAATTTTCAGAGTGCCTCGCGACCGTTTCGCAAACAAACGACTCACAATCAGCGTTGTTAATCACTGCCCACTTAAAAATTCACTAAAATGCAATAGTTTTGTAACGCGTATTGTTTGTATGCTTTTACTAAACAAAATGTTGTTCGCGATCACAGAGTTGAACAAGCACTGACTGAAAAATTGTATGAGCGATAATCAAAAGAGGTAACCCAGTGTGCGGACTGAACAAGGTAGCCAATTCCCCGATTTCGACAATGAAATTCCCCGATTTTGCCCGAAATTTCGTAAAATTCCCCACCCATAGATATATCCTTATTTACAAAAAAAAAAAATGTATAACCTTTCTCCTTTTTGTGAATTCGGTTAAAAAATGCTGTTCATTCTTTAACAAAACCTTTATAAACATAAGTTTCAAACTTTGTGCAATATTTTTAAAAAAATGCAACAAACTTTCGTACAAATTTCGAGCTTTTTAATTGATTTTCTAGAAAGGATTTTGATTTTGCAGTTTTGTAGCCCACTCAATTTTAAATTAATTAAAAGTTTTCGTTTTAGAATTTTTTTTGCCGAAGGAGTTGGGAAGAAATGTCAAATGACAATTTGTAAATAGTCCTGCCATTGTTCTCGATTCGTTGCTGACTTGAATATTTAATAACTCAGGGTTGTATAATCAGTACTTTTAGTAGCAGTTGCATTTCTTATGCACCTTTTTTTATCTCATTATGAAATTAGTGAAGCAAAAAAGAAAAAATTAGTTAACACCTAATTCCTCGAAAAAAACAGTTCATCCCCTGATTCCCCACGTAAACTGAAATTCCCCACAAAAAGCGGTCCATTCCCCGATTCCCCACGCAAACTGAAATTCCCCGCAAATCGGGGAATTTCCCACGAATTTACTTCCTTGGGACTAAACCACGGTAGATCTACCACAAATGGCAATAACGCAAATTTGTGCTATTTCCCAATTGAATGTGAAATAACACTAATTTGCTTTATTTAATTTCTCGGTGAGCAATAAGACCAACTTTTAAACTTAACAATTGAGTAATAAAGCAAAATAGCGCACATAGGTAGTCACCCATTTACATTTGACAACAAGAAGTACATGAACAAGTCCCCCCCTACCCTTAGCCATCTCTCTCCTACAATCCTACTCCAGTTGAGATCTAACAGGGGTAGAAGAAAGTACCTTAATGGCCGCTTGGCTATCCGAGAATATATTCAAATGAATAGTTGCGAAAAATTATAGGTATTTTTTTTCAAAAGATTTTGTACTAAACTTATTGGCTGTAAATAAAAAAAAGCAAAAATATGCAAAAACCACATGTATTTATTATAAAATATGCCCAAAAAATATGCAAAAACAGGTATTTTTGCAAAATATCCAAAAATAAATATGCACTAATGATTAAATGTCATTTTAAAATAAATTGCAAGATTCGTAAAGATCACTTAACCACTTTCATTTTGTTATGAGTTACTGTTCGCCGCACAAAATATAAATACTTTATTCTTCGGCATATAGCGCACCCGGTAGCGGGCCATAAATTTCACCATCTAATAATTTTTCTAGAGCGTACGGCAACACCAAAACTGCATGGAAGGTCTGCCATTTGGCGATAGCTGTGTTCGTTGCGGACAGTGTCGCAGATTGTCACTACTTCCTGCAGGTCTGTTCGTCTACTTTTTCGGTTAATAAACGATTTCCCGCGGAGGCTGGTGATAGTTTGTGACAGCTGTCTGCAACTGCCCGTCTTCACAGGATGGAATATATAACTTGACACATCTGTTGGAATATGGAGCACAATACATATCAAGGCCTATATCTTGGCATCTGTTGCGGTAACTTGGTAGTTTCACAGCCACGCTGCTTGCACGAAAGCTTCGTGATGACCACATTATTGATATTTGAACATAACTTCGACGTGACACGATCAGCTTTCCCCTTTCAATTTTCAATACACTCACATTTTCCACTAACATACTCTTATTCTACTACGGAATGGGAAACTTGCTTTCAATCTTTCCTTTCATGTAAGTTTTAATTTTGCTTCTATTTTGATCACCTATTTATTCAGCATTGACAGGCGAATTTCGAGAAAACAAGAAAATTATTAAGCTTTTGAATGCTAAAAAATTAACATACAATGCAATTTAAAATAGCAAGTGGCCTTTAAAAGCTGATTAGTTGGTTGTTTTCTTGAGGACGGCGCGTTGACAATGAGATTGCTTCTCAGAGGGAATTCAGGCTACCTAATGGCCTTCAATTTTTATGATTTTTGACAAGCAATGTGTATAAGAAAATGAAAGGCAAGGTTGATCGTGTGTAGTTAGCATAAAAGCAAAAGTCGACCTGTTTCCTATTAAATTGCTTGCTAGTATGTACTCGGATGTATTTTCAAGGTGTTATTTTTTTTTTTTTTTCGGCGGTTAAGTCCGGCAAAAACACGTTTTAAAAGCCGTCTTACAAATGATAATATCAAGATATAAAAAGCCTACACAAATATTGCCTCTGATAAAACGTATGTAATACATATTATCCTGTGAAGACGGCCAGTGAGGAAACAGGGCTGGTGAATTGCTGCTCTCCAACCGGTTGGAGTTATATAAATGGGTGATGGCAACCCCGGATACCCTCGAACTAGTTTTTTTTTTGACATTTCTCTTTGCAGTGCGGCAAGTTCCCATTGGAAGGGTAACGGAACCAGTCCAATGGCGCAGTGACCGTTATTCTTCCAATGGGTATAAAACCCACTAGCAACTGCGCAACCGCACATTAGATTTTGGACATAGACACCAAAGGACACAAGAGGTATTAATACTGCAAAATTGCAGTGCAGATCGCCGCGCAGAAAATTTTTAAATAGTCAAACGTTTGAAAAAAAGAATAAATAAATTAAAACCCGTACTTTAAAGTGATTTGTTAAAAGTTAAAACCACAATGGAAAAGCATAGCAGCATAAATAAATAAAAAGGAACAAATCCAGGTTTAGACGACCGTACCGTAGCGGCAGCCCCGCCATAGTAAAAACCGGTAACAACACCTCGACAGTCAACCTCGACGACGTCTGCCACAGCAGCCGCGCAGTAGCAACCCGTTAACAGCACCGGCATCAACAGCATCGGCTGCCACAGCAGCAGGCGAAACAACAACAACCATTACGGAATCAACCGGGCTGAGCACCCGGGAACGGCAACAACAAAAACGGCTGCCACAGCAGCCGCCGCTATAACAGCCACAACAACAACACCGACGAAAACCGGTAACACGGATTCAACCGGCAGCAACCAAAACGGCTGCCATCGCAGCAGCCGCACAGGCAACCTCGACGACGTCTGCTACAGCAGCCGCGCAGTCGAATCCCGGTAACAGCACCGGTATCAACAGCTTCGTCTGGCACAGCAGCAATCGAAACCACAACAACAACCATTACGGCATCAACCGGGGTGAGCACCCGGGAACGGCAAGAACAACACAGCAAAAACAACCAGGGCTGCCACAGTAGCAGCAGAACCAGCAAGGACAACAACAGCAGTGCCACACGCACGCCTGCTGCAACATTAGGGTGAGTCCGTCGGGCCTGAAAATCTCTATAAATAAAACTTTTTTTATGAAAAATTAGAAGTAAGCTAAGAATTATCAAAAAAGAAACTCAAAATCCCTAAAAGTAGATATTGGGAAAACTAAGAAATTAAAACTCAGCAAACAAAAAAAAATAATAATAATAATAAAATAAAAGTATAGGAAAAAAGTGAAGAAACGCAAAATTAAAACAAGCAAAGAATGGAATTTTTACAGAACTAAGAAATTAAAACAAGCTGAAAATTAAATGTAAATGAAAGAACAACTAAAAGGAAGTTAATAACAGAGCATCCCGGTAACAGCACCGGCATCAACAGCATCGGCTGCCACAGCAGCAGTCGAAACCACAACAAAAACCATTACGGCATCAACCGGGGTGAGCACCCAGGAACGGCAACAACAACACAGCAAAAACAACCACGGCAGCAAGGGCAACAACAGCAGTGCCACACACACGCCTGCTGCAACATTAGGGTCAGTCCGTCGGGCATGAAAATCTCTAAAACTTTTTTTATGAGAAATTACAAGCAAGCAAAGAATTATCAAAAAAGAAACTCAAAATCCCTAAAAGTAGATATTCGGAAAACTAAGAAATTAAAACTCAGCAAAAAATAAAAAATAATAATAATAATAAAAAAATTCAAGTATAGGAAAAAGGTGAAGAAGCGCAAATTAAACAAAAAAAATGAAATTTTTACAGAACTAAGAAATTAAAACAAGCTGAAAATTAAATGTAAATGAAAGAACAACTAAAAGGAAGTTAATAACAGTAAGAACAGAAATATTTTTTTCTAGTCTGTATATGTATGTATATATATAGGTAAATATATACATATATACCCATATATGCCAGCATGTACATTTATGCATATATATAGGTACATATTTGATTTAAAGGTTAGGCTTAAGTAAAACAATAAACCCGAACAGAATAAAATCATCCTTGGTTTTTTTTTTAAAGAAAACGGAAAAATTATACTCACTTAAATAAACAACTAACATAAAATTACATTAAATTAATTTGAATTAATTTAAACTAAATTAAATTTAATACAAATTCAATAAAGGTAATTAAAATTAAATAACAGTAACTAGAGGTAAATAAAATAACATTCAATTTACTAAAATTGAAATAATCTAATTTTAACTAAATAAAATAAACGAAAGATACGAAAACTAAGGGAACTTAATATATATCAACATCAAACTTCAATGGAAGTTCAACTAAAATAAATTTAAATGATTAACTAATTTTTATATAAAAGAAAATTGGCCACAATATAATACATAACAATATAAATAAACAACGAATAATACTAATAATAAACCTAAAAGGGATAGGAAATAGAAGACGCTAGGATAGAAATTATATTATATTGACCGAACAAAAGTAAGACCAATAAATATAGGAACCCCTAAAATTACATTAGGAAGAACAGAAATAGAAAAAAAATAGAAAAACTTTTGAAATCGTGAAAAGAAATTAAATACTAGGCTTAGACACTTTAGAATACTCACCTGCTCGGACTTAAGTCAACTCCATTTGCTTTGTTTAAATATACTGATATACTTACCTGACGTACTTAACCACC